CTGCATTCCTTGGTTTATGGATTCCTTGACTTGAATCTCCTCCAGTATGGGCACCTTCCAACTTCTGCTTCTGAAGTCACATCTCCTTCTCTCCTCTGCTTCTTTGCCTCCCTTTTCACTTAGAAGAATTTTACCACTGCCCCTCTCTACCCTTCCAGTCAAGAGCAAGATTACCTGGGACTAGTGGAAGGTGGAGACATGATGTATGGCTTTTCTCTGGCTGCCGCAACAAAGTACTATGGTTTGGGGGTCTCAGCAACAGAATTGTGTTTCCCTCCAGTCATGGAGCTTGAAAATTTCAGATCAAAATGCCTGTAGGACTAGTCCCTGGTCCCTTCTGAAGCCTCTCTCCTTGCCTGGTAAAGGGTCATCTTCTCCCTGGGTCCTCACATGGTCTCTCCTTTGTATGTGTCTGTGTCCTAATATTTTCTTATAAGAATGTTAGTCCCATTGGACTAGGACTCACCCAAATGGCCTTATTTAACCTTTATTACCTCTTTAAAAATTCTAACTCCTAATATAGTCACATTCTGAGATACTAGTGGGGAGGCGTTCAGAGCTCCAATGTATATCTTTTGGGAGGACACTTTTCAGCACTCCTAGCAGAAGGGAGAAGTTTCCGAGCTCCGCTTTTGGGGGAAAAATGAACCCTGAAAACCCTGAAAACAGAAAGTGTCAAAATTAGAAGAGGCTTAAGTCCTGCTCCTCATTGCAGAGCATAGTTTGCAGGTCCCCCAGAAGGAAATGAGTCAATGGTATCTCTGGGCAGTTGAAGCCACAGAGAGCCTCAAGGAGTTTCCTGTGCCTGAACTTGGCCAAAAAGCACCTCACCAGAAAGGCTCAGGAGTAGCAGAGACTATATTACTCTTGAGCAGTCTTGAGCACAAAAATAGAGCATTGATAGGTCAGAAACAGGCTGATGTTGGGCTCATGTGTGGAGTCAGACGGATCCTTCCCTTAATTCCTGGTTCTTAGTGTCTTGGCATTTCTTCAACTGCTTGTAGTGTTGATAGACTTGGGAATGGAGTATGTCGAGAAGGACAGCCTCCAATTGCCTGATATCAGGTTCTCAGCATCCTGGTGCAAGGGATCTTGCATCAATAAAGTTGCATAGCGAACACAGGAAGTTCAGTTTTGTCACTGCTGGTGAGTTGAGATTCATGTCTGCTGATCATGTGTCTGGGCTTGGGCTTCCATAGAGACAAACCCTGACAAAAGGATTTGAGGACAAATACTTCTTCCAGAAGGAATGCTGATTTTAATTCCGTAAGACTAATTTCTGACTTCTAGAACTATAGCATGATAAGTTAGTATTGTTTGAAGCAGTGAAAGGAAATGAATTCAATTATGAACTCTTATCTTTCTTGATCCTTGTGGTCTCAGTTTCTTATGTATTTCCCCACCTTAGAAGACAAAGAGGCTAAATCTCTCTGTGCCTAAATTTCCCCCATGCATAAAATGGGTATTGTAACAGCACTCAATCCCCTCCACCCCCTTGAGTTACCGTGAATGATACACTTAGTACAGGACCTAGCGCTTGGTGAGTACATTAGACAAGTGATCTAAACTTAATGATAATTATTTCTTTAAGAAAAACAACTGCAGGGTCTCCCTGGTGGTGTAGGGGTTAAAGTCTCAGCGCTATCAAGCTATCTCCAGTCACTGTGGCCTGAGTTCGATCCCTGACCAAGGAGCTGACCCACATGGCACAGCAGACCTCTCCTGTCTCACCCCCTGCTCCCCTCAGCAGTGTATCTTACTAGATCCACCTGTTCTGCTCCTCACGCTGTCTCTGATGAATCTTCTCATGCCCCTCACCTCTGGCCTACACCCTCGTTCTTGTCCGTATAAATAAAAAATAATCTTGAAAAAAAAGAAAACAACTGCATAAGCTTGATGATGAAAGACTATTGACATTCAGCCTCAGTATGGGAGAGACAATGGGAGTGGTGGAGACTGTGGTGAGCTGGTAATTTCATACTCTATCCAAAGGGGTAGTTACTATCCCACTGGGCTGTTGTCACAGCTTCCAAGAAAATCTAGAAATCTGGATTTGTCCATGTACAAAGATTTTTGATGGTTAAACAGTGGCCATTCATATCTATTTAAAAAACACATCCAGTGACTAGATGTGTCTTACGGATGTAAGGTCGCCTTTGAGGAGATAACTGAAAAGAATCTGAAATTTAAATGTGCACTGGATTCAAACTGTGATAAGTTAGTATTGGTTGAAGCAGCAATAGGAAATGAATTCCGTTATGAACTCTTATCTTTCTTGATCCTTGTGGTCTCAGGTTGTTATGTATTTCCCCACCTTTGAAGGCAAAGAGTCTTAATCTCTCTGTGCCTACAACTCTACAAGAATACCCAGGAAGCATCTGAGAGTTCATCGTGGAGCCAAGTCCTAGAAGCATACTTAAATGCTCATACCAGGAGAGGCATAGAATTCTAATAGAAAATTAATAAATGACTTCATTGTCATTACTTTACCACATTTGAGTCGCAGCACCAGACGGTTTCCTGCTCGGGGGCTCGTGGGGGAGGGCCTTAAGGAAGAGCCGATTGGGCCTGGGTGGAGAGGTTAAAATCTGAAAAGGTGCTGGAGCCCTCGCTGAGATGAAAGCAGAAATCAAATAGATAAACTTCTCAGAATTTGTCAAGTAGGTCAGTGGTCTGGCTTAGGGGCTTCCTGCCCCTACTTTCTTTATCTGAACTCAAGTGAGGGGCTCCGTCCTCTGCTGCCCCAGCCTCTGCCCCTGGGGGACTCTCTGCCGCATCTCCCTCCTCCCTACTTTCCATCACCCTCCTCCTCTGCCTCCACCTGCTCCCCACCTCCCCCTGCTTCCACCACCTCCTCCTCAAGGCTGGAGGAATGATCTTTGGAGGCTAAACTTAGCTTCTAACCCCAGGCGGAAATTGGTGGCTGCTGGTGGCTTTTATAAATGCACTGTCCCCACACCTCTGTCTGCTCATCATGGAAACAGAAAGACTGTGATGAGAGCAGAGGAAATTCCAGTGGGGACTGGGGTCGGACATTTGGGGATGTTTCACCCTGTTAACTGAAAAGGCGTCTCAAGAAGAGTTACACAAATAGTTTATTAGATAATCACAGTGAGGATCCCAGCCTGGGAGCAGCCCGACAGATTTTCCACGAAATGTGAATTTCATTTATATATTGATAGCTAGAAACAGTGAATCATTAAGAGTGTAGTTCTTCTTGATAAGAGGAGCTTCAGGTTCTAAACTGTCCTGATGTAAAGACAGGCTGATGCCAGAGGAAGTCAATGCTGGATTTACTCTCTTCTTCCTGAAGTGTGCCTTGCACACATGTTGGCTGCCCATTATTTAAGGTTATTATTATTTTTTTTCATCTGAAAAGACTGATTTACACCTGCAGGCAGCAGATTCCTGCTATGACAAGGAGTCGAAGAACTTTGTTATCTTGCCCACTGTGCCAAGGGTGGGGTCCCCAGGAAATTTTACATTGTGTTTATACCTTCCCACCCAGAAAGGACAGAGACATGAAGTCACAAGCCTAGTAGGATGGAGGGGCTCAGGGTACCTGCCTCCATCCAGCTGGAACATAGTGGCACAAGAGCTCCAGCCCAGAGTGATGTGCCCAGGGAGAGATGCCAGAGTGTAGAAAGTGCCATCAATTGCTCTTCCTCAATATTTCAGTCTCATGTATACTTGCACATTAATTGAGCTCTTACTGTATTCCAGGCATGTTCACAGCTTGCACTTCCTCTTTAATATTTCGATCTCATGTAAACTTGTACCTTAATTGAGCTCTTACTGCATACCAGATACTTTCACAGCTTGCTCTTCCTCCTTAATATTTCAATCCCATTCATACTTGCACATTAATTGAGCTCTTACTGTATACCAGGTACTTTCACAGCTTCTATCCATGACTGATCTGATTAAATCCTTACCACAAACCAAGCAGGTGTGGACTGTCATCACCTTGCCTTTTGCAGAGGAGAAAATTGTGGCACTGACAGGCCGGGTGGGTGTGATGTGATGGTGTGTGTGTGTGATGTGGCCGAATGAGACACGGCCCATGTAAGTCTTATAGGATAAATGTATGTCCCCCATGTCACACTGCGAGGGACTGTACAACCCGTGTGGGTGATTGTGGTTGTAATGGTGATTTGGGTGTGATGCAGCATTTGTGATCGAGTGTTTGCAAAGCTGCCTATGACAGTGTGATTGTGTGAACATCTGATGTGTGTGAGTCTGTGATCATGGAGCTGTAACAGACGCTTTGGTGTGACTGTATTTTCTTTTTGCGCTCTCTCTCTCTCTCTCCTTCCTTCCTGCCTTCTTTTCTTCCTTTACCCCATCTTTTGCCCACCCCCAACATTTCTCAAGCACCTACTGTGTGCCAGGCTCTGGACTGCACACGCAGTGGTGTCCTGGTAAGGGCCGAGTGTGCTTCACAATGCAGGGATACAGCTGGTGCTATCTTGGTAGCCAGAAACCTGCCATGATGGATGTTTGCCTGGAGATAGGCAAACATTACCAAACTGCTCCCTTCCCAGGAGAGTGAGTAGTACTCTTTTCTCAGCATGACCCTGTGGCTGGGTGAGTGTAACTTTCTGTGGCCAGGCTGAGGGTGGGGTTGAATGTGTGACTCTAACTGTGGGTGAGCCTGGGCTTTTCACATGGATGAATTCTGATGATAAATGTCCCCAACCACCCCCTCCGACAGCCCACACTTGTGGGAGTGATGAGGGTGGTAATATCCCAGTTCTCAGCCAAGCCAAATCATGAGCCCCCAAGTCTCATATTCCTCTGAATCAAGTATAAATACCCAGCTCTCACCCCTTCTCCCTAAATGCCAGGCAGATCAGTATTACCCCTGCTTAGGAAGCCTGAAGATCCCCAAGTCTCCAGGCTTTGTCTTGAGTGTTGTCTGTGCCGGAGTCTGTAGTCTTCAGCCTTCCAGAGGTGGTGCCCGCTAAATGCATGCTGAGTTTGGGGCTCCCTGGTGCACAATCCGGAGGTTGCCCCTGCAAGTTCTCAGACCCCTAGTCCATCGGCCATTGTGCCGTCCTCACAGCATGAAAGCCCCGAAGTAGGACCGGGAGCTGTCTCTCAGCCCGATCACCCTGTTGGCCTTTATGTGGACAAGCAGCTCATCTCCAGCCTCCAAGTACACCACGCCGCCCAGGTTGCTGCTGTGCCACCAGGTGTGGGGCTTGGCTGTCCGACAGTGTGACTGCACATTGACCAGCAGCTCCAGCTCCTCAGGGTAGCGGGGTGTGCGCAAGTGGAGGGCATGGGTGATGGACAGGGCATAATTTGGGCAGTTATTGTCGGCCATCTGCACCTTGGAGTAGATGTAGTAGTAGCCGGCGTGCTGCACCACCAGGGAGCCATTGCGGTAGCTGAAGTCCTTCAAGAAGGCCAGTCCCCGCTGCGTCTCCCACAGCACCGGGCCCTCTGTGCTTAAGTTGGCTCCTAGGGAGGGAGACAGAGGGGCTGGTCAGCACATGTTCCATGCTGGCTGTGTGACCCTAAAACAGACTCTCTGAGTCCCTGCCTCTGTGCCAGGCTGCTTGAGGGCTTTGTAGGCATTGTCTGTATCAGTTCCCATTGTCCTCACTCTGCATGTGGGGAAACAGAGGCACGGAGCAAATAAGTGACTTGCCCAGAGCAGCAAAAGCTGGCGGTGACAGGAGCAAGGAGCCGCAGCAGAGCACCCCCGGGACAGCAGCCTCTAACCCCTGGGTGCCTCTGACCTCAAAATGGAGGTGCGACTAGAATGGGCTTAGGATTTGATGAATTAACAGATAGAGAGTGTCCTGCAGCGTCTGAGGGACAGCGTCTGTAAGGTTTAGTCAATAAATACAATTAGAGATACACAGGTCCAGGGTCACCCCAGGGCAAATCTAAATAAGCATTGGGTGAACGAGCAAATATTCTGACGTGTTGAGGTCTCCATCTGGTCTCCCCGAGACGCCCTGACTCCCACCCCATGCCAGGACCCAGGTTCCCCTCACCTGTCAAATGTGCCGCTGGTTTGTTCTGCAGATAAGTCTGGTCTGGGGAGAGAGGATCAGCGGTGAGGGGGGCTGGCAGCGGGGAGGGAAGGGTCAGCCTCCCAAGGGGTCATGAAGTCCACCCCCTGGCGTCATCCCCACCCTTTCCGGAGTGACCCAAACTTCTGCTTCTCAGGCCGGGGGGGAGGGGCACCTGCGGGGCTTGGGTTAGTTGTGCAAATCGCATTGGGCAATGCACCCCAGTGGCAAGGGCCGCGTGGGAGCCGTCCGTCCCCTCCCTGGGCAGCAGGACGCCCACTCACCATGTGTCAGCTGCTTCTGGGGTCCCAGCTCTCCATCCTGAAAATGTAGAGGAGCCCAGAGTGAGGAATTCTGCGTCACTCATGACCAAGACATGAGACCAGACATAGCATCACCCGAAGACAGAGACCCAGGGCCCAGCCTCCCACCAGCCCGTGCCCAGAAGCCTTGTCACCACCTGGTGTCTCAGTGCCCCCCCGGCCCCCGTGAATGGTCATCTAAAGAGTATTTAGTGTATTCCTATGTGTAAAGCATATTCTAGGGCCTGGCACACGGTACGCGCACCATGAGGGTTTGTTACGTAAGCACCATTACAGATACCGGGACTCATGGACACAGAAGCCAGAAGGCGGAGGGGCCAGTGACACAGCACAGCCCCAGACACTGAAGTGACACAATGACCAGATATGTGCGAGTCCAGATATGTGTGTGTGTGCTGTGTGACTCCATGTTGGCCCAGAGACCCAGACAAGACACCGGGGCTGTGGACACAGGAGGACGTGGGTGTGTGCGAGCACGTGTGCAGGGACAGAGCACGTGGACACAAGATGAAGCCACCAGATCCAGACAGAAGGAGAAAGGACATGAGACAGAGGACACAGACGACCAGGATTGCAAGGTCGCGACTTGGGGTACACGGAGCATCAGACAGGTAGCAGACACGTGTGTCGGCTGACGAGAAGCTGACAGACAGAGGTTCGTCCAGTCTGAGTGGATTACTGAAAACCTCAATAAGAATGATCAGGCTGTGGCTAATAATGATCAGCAGTGCTACGATGGAATGCTAGGCTGGTGATTACAGACTGCGGAACAGTATTACAAACATTAAACTTGCCAAGAGACTAGATTTTAATTGCTCCCACCACTAGAATCAATGATGAGACCATTTCACAGAGGTGTTAGTCAATGTCAATCACATTGCAACATAAGTGTATTGAATTAGTATGTTGTATACCTACACGTACATGAACTTTTGTGTCAATTACATCTTAGTGAAAAAGAGAAAAGCTTGCCAGGGCCACACAAGCACGTGCTCACCACACCAGCACATACCAGCACCACACCAGCGCATGTCTTGTCACCACAGCAGCTCACCACACCAGCACATTTCCCCATGACAGAGTACTCTTATTTTCATACCCATTTTACAGATGAGGAAGCTGAGGTTCAAAGAGGTGATTTAACTTGCCCTGGACTGCTTTTAGTCCTTTAGCATCCTCCATGGGTGCACACACAGACACATGCAACAGGACGCACATCCACCACAATCCCTGGCCCCACTCACCGGCAGGGGCCTGGCCATCTCGCCCACGCGCACGTGTAGCTGCATCAGAAACCAGCCCTGGACGGCCATCCCGGCCAGCAGTAGCAGCAGCAGGAGGCCCAGGCTCAGCTGGGCAGCACTGCAGCTCTGTTTCCCTTTTCTGGGCCCCAGCCTCGTGAAGGGGATGTTGGTCTGTCCATCCACCACAAACACCGAGGGCTGGACCACAGTCTCCTCCATGCTGGAGCAGGTGGGGATTCTAAGATGCCTGGGCTGGGTTGGCTCAGCTGGGTCCCACGGGTCAGAAGGAAACTGCGATTGCCCAACACTCTTCGGCTTTGCAGGCTGTGCTGCAGACTGGCGGGGGAGCGTGGCCCTAGGCTGCCTTTTGAGCTGTGGTTCGGTCCAGCCCCTCCCCTTTCCCCACTTGCCCTCATCTTCCTGTCCCCCTATGCTCCACCCCAACCCCCGCTCCCCGGCCAATTCACTCTCACTCATGAGCTCACAATTTCCAGAGACATCTGAAGACATGACGCAGGTAGGGTTGGGGACAGGGGAGGCCCCAGCTTTCGCTCTGACCACTTCATTCACAGGGCTGCCAGAATTTAATGATGTCAGGCATTGTTCTAGGTTTGGGGGTCACAGTCATGAAGAAGAGATTCAAAAGTGCCCAACCTATGGAGCTCCTATTCTAGCAGGAACCTAATAAATAAGGAGATAATATTGCTGTGTAGTGTTTTAGATGGTGGGAAGAGCCATGGGAAATGCAAGAGTGGAGTGAAAGAGTGATGTGTGTGTGAGTGTGTGCTCAGGTCTGTGTGTGCAGGTGTGTGTTTATGCACTGCACGTGTGTGCTGTGTGCATGTGCGTGTGGATATCAGCAGGTTCACACACACATACACGGATTGTGCAATACACGTGTGGGTGCCTGCGGGTTGTGTTCGTGTGCTTGTATGCTGTAGGTTGTGTTCATGTGTGTATCTGGTGTGTGAATGAGTGCACGTGGTGGTGTGCATGCTTGTGCGTGGTATATGAATGTGCATGCACACAGGTGTAAGTAGACACAGGCGTATGTGTGTAGGTTGTGTGTGTCCACGCACAGCATGCATGTGCCCATGTATGTACGTCAAAGGGGATCATTTGCTTGGTGGTGAATGGTCGCAAACACACATTTAAAACTCTTGACAGACACCAGGGTTATTACTCCGATCACGAGAAGCAGGATGCTGTCCAACGTTTGGCGTGCACTGCGGAGCCATGGTCGCCAAGACCCAAGGTGATGGGGGAAAGAATAGAAAACCTAAAGGAGGCATCATGAGACTAAAACCTAACTCACACAAGGAGGTGGGGGTGGAGGGGATTAACGTGACCATTAACCCAGCTGTAGAAATCAAGATCCTTAGGCGCCAGCGCCTTATCACAAGGCATAAGGCCCAAGCAGGTAGCAGATGCTGCGGGGAGTGTCCGGAGCACAGACCTGAGGGTAAAGATATAGAGATCGGGCCCGTCCTGGAATCTCTGGTCCCTTTTGGATCCTCATAGTTATCCAAAATCAGCAGCAACTAGGCCTCTCCACAAAGGACTGACCCCTCCCAAAGAGAAAAAGACTGTATCAGTGCAGTCTCCACACTGGCACAGGGCAGCAGTCCGTCTGCCCACCTGTGACTATGCAGGTGCTTCTTTCACCAACCCTCCATCCCTCTGCAGGGCAGCAGCTTCCTGCCTGTCCGTGACCTGTACCTGCTGGGACTGCTCCTCACTGACCTCCCTCAGCGGAGGCCGCTCTCCTCAAGGCCGCCCACCTGCAACCATGCAGGCCTCTCTCAGCAAGCCTGACCCTCTCCAGCAGCTCCTCCTGCCCGCGTGTGTCTATGCAAGTGTCTTTTACTCTTCTGTCCCTTTCTCTAATAAACCTGCTCTTTAAATATAACTAACGTCTCTGTCTCGTGGAGAAACTCTCCCTGGAAACTCGCCGCGTGCCGCTGAGAGGGGAGCTCTGGTGGCACCTTTCCCGGAGAGAACCCAAGGGCCCTGCACTCCATAAACCACATCAAAGGCAACAAAATCTAAGAGGCTCAGAGAAAAGCCCTGGTGAGGAATCACCCTCAGTCAAGCAGCTAATTCGGGGACTTCCATAACCGAGTTTCCAGTTTCGAGGCCCCGGGACTGCTCAGCCAGCCACGGCAGGTGGCGCTGGACACAGCACCCGACCGTCCGCCTGGCCGCCACAGCGGCAGCCCTCAGGACTGTCTCCCTGCACTGACTGCCTCCTGACGGGGAAATTTGTCTGTCCATTCGCCACCATCACCAATGGCTGTGCCGCCGTGTCCTCCATGCTGGAGCAGGTGGAGGTTTCAAGACCCTGGGGTAGAGCTTGGTAGTGTGGACCAGGAGGAAGCCACGATTGCCCAAGGCCACCCTTCTTGCTCTGCTAGAAGATAATGGGGGGACTATCTTATTATCAAGAACAACTTAGCCAGGGAGTCAAAGATTCTTTGTTACCTAAACTGTAGTTTTGGACAGTTACTATCCTGGCAAAAGAATCTGCAATATCATCAAGAGTTAGGAAAGATTTCTGATCATAGATTCCTTTGAATATTCTTCTCTAACCAGGGAAACAGGAACCGTCAGAGGAGCTGAATCCTGGATCCTGAATGCCTCCTGGTAGCTCTTTTCTAACTGGACGGTGTAAATTCAGGGGAGGACCAGGAGTCTCCAACATTGCGGACAGAGCAGAGCTTTTGATCACGAGCTAACGTTCTGAAAAGTTCCCCCTGCAGCAGTGACTTGGGAGGCATGGAGGATGATTTTATCTTTTCAGTCTGCTGCCAAAATAAAAGAAGGAAAGAGTAGAAGAAAGGAAGGGACCATCTCCAGTCTTGTTGTGGCATCTTGGGAGAGTTGTCTTCCTCAAGATGACGTTTGCTCAAGGGTGGGAAGAGCACAAGGGGCCATGGTGATGGATCGTGGGTGGATGGGTGGTGGGAATTTCATGGGGACTACAGCTGAGGTGAAAATGCATACATTGTACAAAAATGAAAAATGATGTATATATATGTATATATATATACGTATATGATGTCCTTTGCTTCTAGGAGGGCTCTTTCTAGGCAATTGAATTAAAATTTCCAGCTGGCATGTTGTTTCTAGAGTCTGTGGGGCCCCGGGTTCAAATCCCTGAGTTGGCTATTTGCTTTTATTTATTTCATTTAATTTTGAAAATTTTTTTTTTATTGAGGTAACACTGATTTACAACATTCAATGATTCAGAGGCACAGGATCATACCTCCTAGATACACATCCTCACACCACACCCACCCCAAGGCACCCCTAGCTCCACAGCCCATTATGTCCTGCTGTTATTTGCACAATGGGGGAGGTTCTGGTATAGTCCTTCCCAAGGATTTTAGGGACCATCTTTGTTCTCTGATCTTTATTCTTGTGAGTCCCATTCAAAAGTGTGGGAGAAAACTGGAAACGTTAGAATCATTAGCAAGTCATAGCCTGGCCTCCCTGGTGGCGCAAGCGGTTAAGCACACACTATGAAGCAATCCGCAGCCACTGCAGCACGAGTTCAATACCCGGCTGGCCAGGGAGCAACTCACATGGCGCAGTAGACCTCTCCTGTCTCGCCTGCTGCTCCCCTCAGCAGTGTATTTCACTCAGTCTGCCTGTTCTGCTCCCTGCTTTGTCTCTGGTGAATCTTCTTACCCCCTACATCTCTGGCCTGTACCCCAGCTCTTGTATGTATAAGTAAATAAATCTTAAAAAAAAAAAAAAGAAATCAGAACCAAGCAGTGAATGAGTTCTTTTTTTTTTTTTAAAGAAAGAAAGTCATAGCCAAATATTTCAGGAAGCTAGAAGAATCTGGGATCTGGTCCAGCTTACAGGCACACAGCACCTCTAAGAAAACAGAATGAGGCTCTACTATCTACAAAGGTGCAAGCATAATTTTTCTCTCTACTATGATCCCCGTTTCTATCAGAGATCATCAAGGTAGTCTTCATTTGTTGGCAAAATAAATCTAGTTTCAATACACTTAACCGGTTACTTGCGAAAGTACAGCAAAATTACTCTCACGGATTCTTTTAAATCTGCATTGCTGCTCAGATTTTACCTGTAACATTTATTCATAGAGAGCAGAGTTTTATTGCCACGAAGCTAATGATACTTAAGTAAACATGCCATACAATGCTCTGGAAATGGCTCCTCTCTGCTCTAGCAGACAGGAGAGCAAGGCCATCTGCATGGACTTGAACAGCCACGCCGCAGCAGATGCAGCCTTCCCACACCACTCATTGCCAGGGAGGCCCACAGCAGTGAGCGGCCAGGCTGCATTTCCACAGTGCATTCTTTACAAAGGAGATTAAATTCCAGCCTTGCCTTTCTTTGCTCATAGATTGCAGGAGCCTATTTAGGTCAAAACAACTTAGAATCTCCTAAGGGTAATCACGTCTCACCGATGCACTCTTCCCGCCTAGGTGAACTGAATTAGAATTTGTGATTGTTAGAAAAGTTCTCAAAATCCATCCAAGTATTTCCCAAGTTTGAATCTTCACTTTGATAATCTAACCAACTCTTTGTCTAACTACCATTGAGACTATTATTCCAGTAAACATGTATTAAATCTCAAAAATTCTGGAGGGATTAAGAACAGAGAAAAGGTGAATGTTTCCTCTTTGTTTATAAGGTATGCTGTGATTCATTGATTGCTTAAGAGAAAAGATCTATTTAAATCCAGTTCAGTTTTATGGTCTTAACAGTATCAGAAACCTGTATTCTGGAATCCTCATCAGAGTCCTGTCCATGAAATGCTAAGATGAAACGCACGTACATCATCATTAACAAAAAGTATCAGAGTGAAACGTGGGCTTGCTAGACTTAAGCAGACTGTTCGGCCACCATTCTTTGTTACCTGTAGTTCTGCAATCCTATACAAAGGTCAGAACTGCCCGGTCAATCAGGGTCAATCAGTCATAGCATCGAAACCTTACAAAGGTGCTTATCAAATCAATCAAAAGCAGAAAGCTTGATCACCCTGGGAAGGATATGCATCAGGAGGTGTGACCGGGAATGCCTGGGGGTGAAGAGGACCTATGTATGACAAGGGACCCCAGAGCTAATCAGTGGAATGTCTTGTTGATAAGATTAGAACCAAGGCCCCGTGGGGAGAGGGGGGTGTCTGGAGTGTGGTTTTGATGATAACATTTGGTTGTCAAGCAGATAAGAATTATCTGGTC